GGCTTTAAGCCGTTTAAGCCGAACTCGTACCCCCCCCTCCCCCCCCACCACCACTCGTACAGATCCTTCGGTCTTTTCGACAGTACCGCGTGGTGAGCTTCGTGCGCAGCACTGCCATCTGTGCATGCTTCGGTGGCGACGAGCGTATTGGGCAACACTCTTCTTGCAACAGGCTTTAGAGCAATACGCCGGTAGACAGCCAATCCCTTTTGATGGTTTCGCTGGCTTTCGGTACGCGAGCGGAAGCCCTCGCTCAACATGCCAGCAACTTAGCGTTCCAGGCTAAATAGTTGGGAATGGAGTGCAGCGAAGTCTTTACGGGCACTGTCCGCAATATGTTGCTCTGGGTTCTATGTATTTGCTCAGCTTCGTTGCCATCGGTAGGGGCATCCCGAATCTCAATGTGACGGGGTCACACAGCACCTTGCGCTTGAGGAAGTTAGCTTCCGAGAGTATACAATCTCTTAGTGAACGGCAGTTCACATGTCCTCTCTTTATCAAAAGAGAGCGAAGTGACCTATTTACGGTAGAACGTAAACTGAGAATATTTTTAGGTAGATAAAGCTTGGGTATAATACAAACTATAAGTCACCGATAGAAATGCAATGTCACCAGCCAATGGTTGGCTTTGGACGACCTTGGTACCTTGTACCAAATTTATGGAGTATGACGTGTCATACTTTTGAGGTGTGACGTGTCACACTTGATGTAACTAGGGGTACACTTAGGGCTACGTACCCCGTTACACTCAACAAGCCGAAGTCACGGATTAGGGCACACACTTCACATGATTCACAGCGACTTTTCATCCTATGTTGACGTAGGCTCGTACAATGCGTTGCTTGAACACATTCGGAAATAGGTCATAATCAAATCTTCCATCCGGGACGAGAGGTGCCCAAAGTAGCGACAGAGCGAGCACCTTCGCAGCTTCCTCCCTCCTCGATTTCTTAATTGCAAGTGCGACTTGATCGACCAGTAGCTCTTCGAGAACGGCATAATTTACCTCTCTAAGTACGTAGCAGCATGGTCCGAGCGGGCCAGTCAATACTCCAGCCTTGACTTGTGAGAGTGGCGGAATTTCTGCAACCAACTGAGAGCCACCACTTGTTTTTTTCTGTATGCGCAAGTTGCAAGAACCAGTGAAAATACAAACCCCCAGTGCAACTATTTTTGCAAGTGATACTGTTTTATTTGCAAAGGTATCGCTTTCGCGAGAACTTGAACTGTGACTACTGCATCTGATCCGCCAATAAGAATGTGATACGGATAAAAATACAACCTCGGTTGCAAATGGCCGGTTATGTAGAAGTACAGCGACACCAGTGATCACCAGGCCACGCGGCCTGTGACGTGCCCTGGAGTGAGCAATTACTGAACTTTCTCTAGTAGACCCCGATGCTTCTGATTGACTAGACAAGAGGCTCATACCCGGCGCAACAACATCCGGTTTCAACCCCCCGTCCGTTGTGAACCCTGCAGAGGAAAACGA